TGTTACCTGATTGTCTTTATGATTCCAATCTGACATACATGTCCATTCGGAATGGACATAAATTCCAAACCGACATATGTCCATTCCGAATGGACACAAATTCCCATCCGACATATGTCCATTCCGAATGGACATAAATTCCAAACCGACATACAACAACGATGACTGAATATAACGATATTTGGATTTTGCCATTACAAAACATTATTTCCTTTACGTGGTTATACCAATTTTTATTATTAAGCTTTGTTATTACGTATAATAATAATAATGTGTATATGATATACCAGCTATGATAGCAATAAATTTTTATACCGTATACTTTCGCGTCCATGACCAATCAAGACTACAACTGTCCGTAAAAAAACCCGATCCAACAAAGGTTTGCGCAAAAAAAATGTGTGTTAAGCTCGTACACGTAAAGAATACACATCTCGTCAATTATCTTGGGTCGGGAATACGGAAGCAATGTAATGCTGTCTAAATTTAGGATTTTGAAAAAATGTTGTTGATTGCATAATATGAAAATATGAGAATAAAAATGCTGCAAACATTTGCAAAGGTTTGTTGTAAACATAGTTTTTATATCAAAAACAAAAATTCAAGCTTAAAGATAGTAGCTCGAAATTCTACCATTTTGAGAGAATTATCTGGCGTAGCATCGAGTCTCACTGACCATGTCGCGTTGATGATTAATATGAAAATTGTCTGGTGCTTGTAAATTTATCTCTTCGGGTTTGCACAACACGTAAAAGATGTTACACGTTTCTGTGTCTTTGCAAAATAGTGGGTAAGAACTTTTTCGAATACATTTTGCAATTATAAAGTATGCACATCAGCATTATTATATGCTTATTAAAGTGGATTTGGTCAGCAACTACTACAAGTTCAACCCCATATCTTACTAACCCAGTACCCGCAAGAGCAATAGAGCGCAGACAGCAATCTGTATGGTAGAAAATTAAATACTTAGCTTGTTAGCCATTTCCTGAATAAATTGCATTTACTTAACGCATCATAGTTTAAATGTGAAAAACATATCATTGTGAATTATAGAAATGGACATATAACAAATGCCAGAACGATAGTTTACGCATTTTATGGTTTAACTTTTGATAAACTTCCAATGAGAAGCCTCCGCATATGCAAATTGACATACTTTTCTTGCAACGATATAATGTATTTCATCATGTATTTGTCAGACGTACCTGTACATATACGATATTATCCGGCTTCAAAGAACGGTTTTGGCACGCTTGAGTATTATCTTTATTCAATCGGAGTTTTATTATTAGCCAACTCGGCAAGCGAGAATCATTTCCAAGTATACATTATCAATACGACTTGCAATTTGTTTTACAAAGCCGAATTGGACGTTTATCTTAGTTGAATGCGAGAAGTTAAGTAGTTTACGCCAGTTTTGTCGCAAATTAGTCAGCCTACAATCAACCGCAAAAAAATGATTGTAATATTAAGGCATTCAACCTTTTTTTTCGGTCTGTCCGGCGTTGTATCTCGTCGGGCGGATTGTGTTCGTTTCATTTTCCAAGTCGAATGATAGGCGTTCGACAAGACCCTGGAAAAGCACTTTTAATTTGTGACAACGTGATGGTAATTCCCCGAGTAATATAAGTTAAAGCAAACCTTAATATTCTATCCCATGAAAGAACAAAACGTAAGTTACCAAATAATGCATAAGAGAGAGATAGATTGAATAATTTTAAAAGTAGACGTCACGTTTTCCTATCATATATATATTTGTATCTCATATATTGCTAATTCGAGACAAAAATTATATTTTATCTACTTATCAAGAAGGGTAAAAATTCTGATAATATAAAGATTTGATGCATATATTTCTACTTTGACAATTTGCCTACGTGTTATCCAACGTGTCTTTAAGCATCCTTGGAAGATAATATTTATCGCATTCTCGCTTTGTAAGGTCGCACTTATGAGGTCCCACAAGCCAATAACTTTTTGTTGGTTGACAAATCAGTTAGTACTAGATAGCCCCGTTCGATCTGATGTTCTGATGTATTTTTGTTATAAAATTTTTTTTCAAACAGTTGCAATTACTAATTATTGTAACCTCAACCCTAAAATAATCCGTAAAATCTTAGGTATTGAGTTTAAATTGGGAAAGCAAATTGAGGGTTACGCTCGAACTCATAAAAGCATGAAGTAAAAGATGTGTCTAGCATAATCTATACACAAAGCAAAAGACTTACAAAAATGTAAATATTTGTAAGCAATGCATCAAGTTTTCATCATTATTACAAATCATAAGACGCAAATATTTTGACAAATAGGGCTGTGAGGCCGTGTGGCGGGGCCGTAACTCCACTTTGGAGTGGAGTGGCTAGCCCCCGCCACACAGCCACTTGCACAGATTAAACATAATCCCGTATTCAAGATTTGCTGTTGCAGGTCAGATATAAGCTTTGCCCCATATTTCTGGCTTAATATTAAAATATCTCTCTATTTTCAACTTGAATATGTAGTTATGTGCTAAACTGCACAGGAGTAACAGATCAATATTAACGAAATGCACATCATAATTGATCTAAGATTTGTATTAAAAAAACTTAAACTTTTGAAGTTACTTGTTTTTTTATAACATTTTTCGTTATTGGATAAAATAAAGAGAATGTATGTCATTGGTCGCAGCAAATGACTGCTTGTGAGCAATGGTGAATATTAATAAAATTGTTACATATTTACTGTAACTATCTAGACATATATGCTGTACTTATAAATTGTCAGGGAGCGAAACAGTTCCTTGTGCTCTCCATTCCGTTGATTCAATAATTTGTAGACTTGCGCAGAAAAAGAAGCATTTGTTGGATAAATGTTATGACAAAATTCGGGACTGTACCATGCAACAGATTAGCTACGGAGACTAGTGATTTGTATGCTAGTGCCAAGAAAAAAGAAAAAGATAGAATGTCATTCTAAACTGCATCTGATGTTGATGTTTCCTTTGTCCGGTTCTGTCACAGTCTGGCATCGCTTAAATACAGTCATTAATGCAAAAAGTGGAAACACCAATCATTGACTTTTGACTTTTGTAATTTTGTTAGAACATTATTGACAGACTGAATAAACAAGACTGGTACATTTTCAGATTTGTCCTAAAAGCAAGCCTAATTATCGTAATAGTTATGGTCGGGATGCGATGTGCGTTCTTAGAATGGATTGGGGAAATGAGAATTCATTGTGCGTGCAATCGATGCAAACACAGTTTTCGATTAGCAGAATTAACTAATCGGTTCTACGTGACTTGTATTGAACAAGCAGAATGTACCTTTTTATGCAATTCGCCGGGTATAAAGTTTCCCGAGATTAGAAAGTTAAATCCAACTATAAAGGTTACATGGTATTGTCCGTTCTTTCAGAAATGCCATATGTATCCAATTATTAATATGTTGATATGTACAGCAAACAAATGATTCGATAATAGTAAATAGCTTAGAACCAGATTTGATGGTATCTTCGAGATTAATGAACCTTGGCTATATCACGTTACAATCTGGAAACCAGAAGCAAAACAAGGCCTCCGTTGTAATATAGAAATTAACAAGACAATCTTCGGTTCGCGTTACTAGCGTGAGAGATGTATGACTCAGCAATTTTTATACAAATTAATTGTTCGCCCATATCAATAGTGTAAGACGTTAATCGTTCGTCTATATCGGGCTCGTATTTTACGCATCAGTGCGGCTGTATAACTGATCAGATGATCTTTTTTTTTATATTACTAATATAAAATTTATTAAGGAGAGATGTAAGTATTATAAATAACAAGCATAAATAATATGTCATAGCAATATCGCAATGTGACGGTAATGATACTGACCAAAAATTATTTTGTAAATTAATTCCTTTGACTATTCTCAGCATCAGCCGTTATTAACAGCGTCCAAGCCATGTTTTGAGGCTGGGATGGCGAAGCTCATCAGGATAAAAATTTCTCAAAATCACGTTACTGGAAATGTCAAAAATGGTTAGAGTATCTTTGAAATATGCTAGAGATCGGTGACTTTATTGCGAGGTAACGCAGGCTTACCAGCGATGAATGAAAATTTATTAGTTGTAGTACAAAGTTATCCGTAGTTTCTACTAGAAGGCAATCACTGTATTAAGTTGTTGACTTCTCGACTGATACTTTAAAATCCAATTATCATGTTTGGGATGTGCGCTAGACTTTTTCCGGCTCTAGCGATTGTTTGTCGAAAATATTATTAATATTAAATGGAAAGTTTAAAAGATAACATATTAATATTCATAGCGATAGCGATAACATTGTAAACAGTCTGTTTGATATATCTTCCTTGGTAAGAAGTTTTTTACCCCATATGGTTTTGGAGTCTTTTTATTTGGCCTAATAAGTAACAGTCGCCCATTGGAAGTTCATTTAACGTCAATCTAACAATAGAAAACGGGATAGGTCCAGAAATAGATACATTAACCTATTTATGTATGGATAATGATGTTTTGTCGTACAAACAATCGAGGAAGGATAAAGTTACATACACCTTGAGAAAAAAATACTTTACAGAACTTTTTTCTGCGTTTCCCAACATGAGTGAAACGTCAGGCTGGAACTCGTTTTTCCACAGGAACACCTCATATGACACTTCCGCACCCAGATCTCCCTCTCCACAATCTCAGAGAATATCTTTTTTTCCGCATAGGGAAGATGACTATGATCATACAAGCAATATACCCATGGAAATGAAAATGGAAGAAGGCAAAACGAGAAGGGATAGTACCGACCCGTCTATACCTCAAAAACCTGAGTTCTGGATGGCACCCGAGAATTCTGCATATTCTCCAAGTGCCCCACATGCTTCTCAGTTGCAAGATGAGCGTGCCCTATTTGGTGAGAGAGAGGGTCGACCTAAGGTAGAAAGCGACGAAGAATATGCCAAGCAGTTGTACCAGGATGAGGCCAATCGGCGGTATAGACGGTCTGACAGCCGGTACCAGGACGAGTTTAATCCGCCGTATAGACCGCCTGAGAATGCTACTTATTATGGTGGATACCCTGACCCTGATGGTGCGCAGGAACGTCCTACAAAAAGCTCATTACCTGAAGCATTAAGGGATCCAGAGGTGTTGAAGCAACTACGTAACAAAAAGTTGTGGAAACCTTGGTTCCTAGCGGTCGTAACTACAGCACAAATAGTCGTGTTAATATTCGAATACGTTAATAATAAGAAAATCACAGGGGATTATATTGAAACAAAACCAGTATTTAATCCTATGATTGGTCCATCTTCAGAGGTGAATAGAACGTGATGTGAATGCAGGTTATCAATTTTACGTTCACGCATGTTTAAATTTGTTACCATTATACTCTTTGTTTTCCGTAGGTACTCATATTAATGGGAGCCCGTTTTGTGCCATGCATGCGTACTGTTCCTCAAATTATGAATTTGCCGTTTATCTGTCCTAATCAAACGACAAGTGGTACGACGGGAGGACTGACATGCAAACTGGAGGATGTGTGTGGGTTTGGAGGATTTCACGATCAACCACCCGATCAATGGTATCGGTTCATCATTCCAATCTTTCTTCATGGTGGGATTATTCATATATTATTCAATATGTGTTTCCAATTACAAACTGGAGTTCAAGTGGAAAGGGAAATGGGATTTTGGAGGTTTGGGATTGTTTATATGGCGAGCGGAATATTTGGCTTTATTCTTGGAGGAAACTTTGCTCAAGCGACTATTCGTAAGTATTTGTTGATTGATGCTAACGCATTTTTTCAATTTTATTAATTCTTCTCGTTTTGGACAATTCATTTCTCTCAGCTTCAATGGGCGCATCTGGAGCACTGTTTGGAATAGTCGGTATACTTCTTATCGACCTGTTCCAAAATTGGCGCATCATCATCAGACCGGGTTGCGAATTAGCGAAACTACTTGCTATGATTGTGTTTAGCTTCCTTCTCGGTCTTCTTCCTGGCCTTGATAATTTCTCACATATTGGTGGATTCATCATGGGCATATTAACGGGACTCGTTTTTATGCCAACTCTCAAATTCACTAAACTTCAGGGAAGAGTTACATGGGCATTGAGACTTATTGCTTTCCCTATTGCGCTCATATTATTCATAACGCTGACAAAGAACTTCTACACTGCCGATCCAAGTGCGAGATGTCATTGGTGCAAATATCTGAGTTGTTTGCCTGTTAATGGTTGGTGTGATGATACCGGCATCAAGAATACTACTTATACTAGCGGCTCATGAAGACATTTAGTTGTGACAGTTATAGAAAGCGTGAACGTAATCTACTGAATAATAAATGAGAAGTGTTGGATAGAATAAAAGGACTCGGGACACTTTTTCCAAGTTTTTAAGATTTTGCACTCTTACATTCACTAGATAACTCATAATATTGACCTGGATAATTTTTTTATGTATTTATTGTATTTGTATTATTTTCCATACAGAATCAAACTTGCAAAATAAATTTGAGCGACATTCTTGATTGTGAGAGCGAAAGTTTGTATTCTTGCTAAATCGGCTTACCAAATTGATGCATAATGATTCTGACATTCTCGTAAGACTTGACCAAGTTTTTTGGAAAGTTATGTATTCTATCGCATAGTAATAGAATAAGTGCGACTGTATGTATAGTATATAGCATACAAAATGAGAAACACATATTAAGTTAATATTAACAATGTATAAAAGTCTACTGATATATAAGTGTTTTTCATACTAATACATGAAAGTTAAGACACTTTCAAAAAATAAAGTGAGCCTTAAATATGCGAATTTTAGCGCGTATTACTACCATATTATACGAACAGATATTCATGCTTTAAATACTCTTCATCCAAATATTTTTATTACACGTATCAGACGACTTACATGGAAGAATCTATTGAAAACAATGGTTTGCCACGAATCACGTGAAAAAATACTCTTGTATTAACCAGGAAGCTTTTATGTCGATAAAAAACTACAGGTTTTTACAAAAGAAAATAAACAATACATCAATGTCTTCGGCGTTCCCGTAAAAAAAGCACGAATTTTTAAGACATTGAAGTTTTGAGGTCTTTATTCAGCGCTTTTTATGCCAAAACAAGGGCCCGTGCGATCAACCTACCGGTATATTGATTAGTGTAACGCCGCCGAATTTTGTATAAAGATAGCCCCTCATGCATCCCCTGAATGTGGATGACACCTTTGTCTGTTAAGGTTTACTGGTGAAGCATGTGACCCCGAGTTGACTAATTGTTAGAAAGTACGCAATGCAGGCGAACAGCCCGTATCTTCATTAGCATGTTCTCAAGCCGCCTGCAAAGGTTTTTACATTTACCCAGAATAATAAAGTTCTCACGACATAGACAATATGAATATCCAAGGACTTACTGGCATACGCTTTTAGGCTCAAATAAACAAGGCACTGCGAGGATTACCAAAGTTTCACCAATTACTTTGGTGAGAAGTTACAGCTCACATTCGTTCGGCAAAATCGTTGATAATGATGAAATAAAAGATTCTTCTAGCTCGCACGTGAATCTAGCCGAAAGTTTAGATATTGGCGATGATCTGTCGACAGATGATTTCCATGACAGTCATGCTATAATATCTGCTTTTGATTTGTTTTCCATTGGAATAGGACCATCCTCAAGGTTAAACGCACTGCTTTTCATCATGATCGAGAGATTTGTGACTATATTTGTGTGCCTTACTAATGCTTGTATCAATAACTTTTCAGTCATACGGTTGGTCCGATGCGAGCAGCTAAGACGTTTGTTAATGATCTGAAAGCTTATAACATTCTTTATAGAGTAAGCAGGTTATTTAGTCTCTACATTAATTTTTTAGTCGGGTTTGCTGACTTGATCTGTCTTTAGGTTCACTCCATCCGTATTGATCTATATGGATCGCTCGCGCTTACTGGTAAAGGTCATGGCACTCCTAATGCAATTCTAATGGGAATGGAGGGAGAAACGCCCGAAGAGATCGAGACGACTAATATATTAGCTCGAGTCACCAATATACATGAAACAGGTGAATATTAAAAATGTCTCGCGCGTCAATCCTTGTCATGCAATCACTAACTTGTGGATACGATGTAGAAACACTTAAACTTGATGGTACACACACGATAAAATTTGATCCCGCTCGTAGTCTGGTTTTTAATTACACTGAATCACTCCCAAAACATCCCAATGGAATGCGATTTTGTGTGTTCGATGAACAAGGAGATCTGGTAATTGGAAGAGAAACAAGCGTTTATAATTATCGATAGAACAGAATACTAAGACATGTTTTTATGTTTTCCTGATATTCCCACGTACAGTTAGCAACAAATGAATATTTTTCAATTGGAGGTGGATTTGTAATAAACGAGAGAACTCAAATCCAACATGACGAGAACTCGCATCACGAAGAATGTGAGGAAACGTTTATGCCTCAATTACGAAACAGTCGAGATTTAGTAGCACTTTCATTTCGCAATGCAGACGAACTGCTTCGTGTCTGCGAGCGAGAGAACATGACTATAGCACAAGTAGTATATGAGAACGAACTCCGATGGAGAGGTAAAGAAGAAATACACAAAAAGATTTTTGAAATATGGGAGACAATGGATCGGAGTATTCGCAATGGATGCGTGGCTGAGGACATGTTTTTACCTGGGAGATTGAACGTCCGCCGACGAGCTCCTGCATTATATAAGAATTTGACAAAGCGGATATATACAACGTCGCAAGTAAAAGAAGAAGCCGCCTTGTCGATTGAGGCCAAGACAAAAAGTCAGGAACTGTATCGCACCCTTCCACGGCCAACGTTAAAGAAAAAGGCCTTGCCGGCTTTGGATTATTTGTCTGTATATGCTATAGCTGTAAGAAACACTGTAAATGATTTGAATCTGTCATTTTGATGTAACGATTGTCAACAACTATTGACCCGTATTTTTCAATACTTTTTTAGGTGAATGAGGAAAATGCTGCTGGCGGAAGGGTGGTTACTGCTCCCACGAATGGAGCGGCAGGCGTTATTCCTGCAGTGTTGAGATATTATCTGGAATTTTTTTCTACCGATTTAAAACACGATATTATGGAATTTTTATTTACGAGCGCTGCTATTGGAATGTTGTTCAAAAAAGGAGCGAGCATCAGTGCCGCCGAGATGGGATGTCAAGGAGAAGTTGGTGTCGGTAGGTTGTGTGCTAACTACGCAATTGTATGATTCGATCAAGACTCATTGGTTTATACTCTGTTTATTAATCGTTCGATATGCTCCAATGATACAAGCTTGTAGTATGAGCGCAGCGGGGTTTGCAGCCGTAATGGGTGGGACGCCCGAACAAGGCAAGTGCAATCAAAGAAATTCAATACGTCTATTTCATTGTTCAGGTCATGTATTCATTTAATGGTTTTTTTTTGACCGTATTCTTTATTAATTCAGTCGAAAACGCAGCAGAGATAGGCATGGAACACAATCTGGGATTGACTTGTGATCCCATAGATGGTCTCGTTCAAATACCCTGCATAGAGCGCAATGCTTTAGGAGCTGTAAAAGCCGTTACTGCCGCACAACTGGCGTTGAATGAGACTGGAAAACACAAAGTGACTCTAGATCAAGTAATAGAAACCATGAGACAGACGGGTTTAGACATGCAGAGTAAATATAAAGAGACCAGTCAAGGCGGATTGGCCGTTAATGTGCCTTTTTGTTAACATTAGATGTACTGGATCAAACGTGAGAATAATACGAAAGTTTATATAGACAAAGCGAGTAGAAAGGTGAAATAATCAGTATAATCATAATTATTACCGTAAAGCCCCTACTAATTTAACATTTTGTCTCTTACACCTTACACAAATTTAATTTGAGCGATTATCCTTTTGTTAGACTGGGTTTCTTTAATAAAAGAATTAGATAAAGCGTAATTCTACTTGCTGCAAATCGAGAGAACGTTTTTGGATATTCAGTCCCCTAAGATTTACGCAGCGTCCGATTCTTGGGATTCTAAGCTGTCTTAACTTCATGGAAAGAATACGCTATCGTATTCTGTTAACGCTGTATTCTTTCATAATATTGTAAGATAACAATATTTGTATTTATATCTCGTAGTCAGATCTTTAGAAAGTGTTTATAAAGAACACTGTATAAGATATCAATTTCGCGAGAACTATTAAAGTGTTCTATTTGAGGATCGATCATCATGTAAAGGCATTTATTAGTTTTAATATACTTCAAGCATAATTACCGTATTTACGGTATTCTATATAACAGTTTCTTTCTGCCCATATAACGCCGTTCTATCCCACATCTCTAAATTCATTGCACTCGCAGTAAATATCCAAATTTCCTCCAAAAACTTTCTAGAAAACTCTCCAAGCCAAGGAGACAATGACTTCACAACCTCACTCCATAGCATTCCTTTCTCAGCCGGTAGCAATAATAATGACATGACGTATAGCTTAATCAACTCGTCATAGTGGTTTGCCATTAACACTCTCAACTCACGTTCAACAAAGTTTTCTAATCTAACCAAGTCACTCTTATGTATCAATCTATCTCCATGATAGTGTGCAGGAAAGTTTACAACATATAGATTGTTCGTGTAAATTCTTCGTCTTTGATGTAAATCTGATGTTGACAATGAGATTACGCCATCCTCGGTATCCCATGCCTGATCCGATAGCCATGGCTGGCAGTTTTTATCACTTTTCCTATCCTGAAGAACTTGTAACTTTTCAAATGTACCTTTCGCTTCATCAACGTCGTATATTATGAAATCCACACTTTTTTTGCAGAGTGGACACTCAAGACAAATAGTTAACCATTGACGTATACACGAAAAGCAGTAGCAATGGTAGCATGGGTACAGGTAACTCAAATTCACGATAGAGTGAAGACAGATCGGACACTGAGAAGTATCGTCCTCATTACGATCAGTTTGTATGTCCAAAGTTTCGTCAGAATCTGAATTAGGTCCTTGTTTATTTTCGTCCGTATGGGGAGTTACGAATTGCAGCTGGTTAGCATCTGTTCCTTCAATAGCTGAGTGTGAAATCTGAGAATTTTTATTACAGCTGTCGTTGCTGCTGCGAGACATGGAGTATTTATTATGAGCCATTGAATTGTGCGGATTAAATAATATTATCAATCAGAGTCACATGACATTAGCCGCCATCGAGAAACTTCCATCCCTTTTAGGACGTAATATTGTGTTTAATTCGTCGGATAATGTCGTTTTGCGCGTAGTTGGTTCAGTTGGTGGGTTATGAAGAGCTTCTCTTTGAATCATTGAAAGTCATTATTTTAATTAGTACACTGATGTTTAGAATCACTTGTACAAAAACCACTATTTTGTCTAAATTTCTGCGAATGTTTATTATTTTTAAAAAATTAACTATTTGATTAAAATCTTCTTGCTTATTATTATCGGTTGTTTCAAATCACAGTACGAAATATAAACTTCCTATACCTTGAAATGTAAAAAGTATACATCAAACTTGAGTATATGCAGTGTGTCGCAAAAGACGTTATTGTAAACGCGCGTTTTTCCTTCTAATAAAAAAAGAAAGCATCTTTCTCCAAACCATGTCAAGAAATAGGAAACGGCCGCCATTCTTAGATCATACGAGATATCGCTGACGAAACAGCTAAAGTCAAGTTCTGAAAACACCCATAATTAGCTTATAATTGAAAACATGTGACAGCGGATTTCTTATATGGGGCGTGCTGCAACAAAACCAGACAAAGTGAACATTTGACGTCACTTGATATTTTTTTAAATTTTTTTA